GGGGGGGGAGACTGCTGAGATGTTGGAGTGTGAAGAAGAAGAAAAACGTCTCTTGAAATCAACGACATGCTGTTAAAGTGTCTTTAAACATTAGCTCGTTAGTGTGAGTTCATCTTCATACAGGCTCAATACATGCACCATGAGTCACACACACACACACACACACACACACACACACACACACACACACACACACACACACAGGAGATCAACACCATCATGTGTCACACACATACACACACACAGGAGATCAACACGTTAGATCAGAGTTCAGGCTTCACACATTTCTAATCCCATACCTTTCCTTACCGTTCCTTTCACGCTCAGATGTTCAGTGTGAAGAGACGACTGTAGAGTCGTCACATGAAGCCGGCTGACTGTATGTCAGAAGGCACGTTTCTGTCCACAGGATTCTACGAGCGTTTTGGAAACGCCGAAAATGTAGAAAAATCTTCCAAGTTTGGCAGAAAGGTTTGTGTGTTGATGAAATCAAACTGGAAACTTGATTTAGTGAATAAATGATGACTTTGATGAAGCATCATGTGACTCAGGAAACCTTGCTCTTTTAACAACGTCATCTTCTTCTTCAGTGGTGTCGTGGTTCTCCACCTCCTGCTGATCCTACTGATCACATCGCGGTAGTGGATGGAACGCGTTTACTCGTTTACAGTTTGGGATAGACGTGGATGTAAACCTGTCCAGAGACATGCGTCTGTTCACAAGTATATCTGATCTGTTTGTTATTTTAATTCCTGCTTTATCTGTTCATATGAACTCAACTCTCTTTATTAAAATAAAAGCCCTCGGAGCGTTTTCACTTCCTAACGAGGCTTTTATTGTGAAACATTTGCACCCACAGTGACTGAACTCTTTGGATGGTTAATCCAGAACAGACAGGTCTTTATAAAGCGTATTTATTACTTTAAAGTGATAAAAAGGTACATTATGCTTTGTTGTTATGCCCATTATATATATTTATATATTGGGCTGACTTCCACTGCCTACCAAAATAAGACAAACCCTAAACGACTTCATGTCGTCTCTTAGATAGAGACTCTAATGAAACATGCCTGACTGTAGTACTACTGAAGTATTGATACTTGTACATTGATATTAGAGGTATTAAAGTAGCTAAATATGCTACTTTCATCCACGTCTCTATGAACACCGGTAGCATAGCGCTAACGCTGACGGAAGCTGAATCAGTGAAAGGAATAACTCACGCAAGGCATCATGGGAGTAGAAATACCACGGACAACACTAAACATGTGTACTAATACATCGAGCAGTACTGCTGCTGCTACCGAAGAAGAAGAAGAAGAAGAAGAAGAAGCACTCACCCCTCTGTCTCGAGCCTTAGCGTTGAACTTCACCGTCTTTAATCTCGCTCGCTCCTTCTTCTCCACCCTGAGGTCAGAGGTCAGAGACACACTTCTGTCACTTTGAGGCAATAAACGGCTTGACGTGTTGACGTGACGGATGTCTCATGAATAAAACGGTTTAAAATGAACTAAACTGTCAAATAACAACACAGAACAATAACAGCACAGAGATCATATCACTGCTGCATCAGCTTTAACTTGAGCTCATTTAGATCCTACAGCGACAGAGTTCTCCAGACACCGGCATGTGTTGAGGAGCTGATACTTCTATTACTGTTTCTGCTTTCATTAGAAACACTAAAGCTTTAACTGCTCTCATTATAAGTCTGGATCGACTGTGATGCAACTCGATCATGTTTATTCTGTCTGTTGACTTTATTAAGGTTAGGTTCCCCTTAAAGGTTGTTTTTTACTTTGTGTGACTGTGTGTGTGTGTGTGTGTGTGTGTGACTGTACGTGTGTGTGACTGTGTGACTCTACGTGTGTGTGACTGTGTGTGACTGTACGTGCGTGTGACTGTGTGTGTGACTGTGTGTGTGTGACTGTGTGACTGTACGTGTGTGTGACTGTGTGTGTGTG